AAAGGGAAGGTAGCGTGTTTAACGAGAGTAATATCAGAATTGTTTAAAAGTTCTGATAACTTAGGGATAGAATGGTTAATGAATTTAGCCATTCTAATTGTCATAGAAGGAACTATTCCCGAGGATTGGCAAAGAAGTATAATTACACCATAATACAAGGGGAAAGGTGATCATTTAGATTGGCATCATTATCACATCTATAATTTTAGAACTTATGAATAGTCGGATGATAAAAAAAATACTTTCAAAATATATTATTAAAAGAGCCCTAAATTTAGTACCAGTAGTAAATAATCAAGCTCAAATTATAACACCAATTGATTAAACATCTAATACAGAAAATGATGATTATTTTTCGTTTGGTGAAACAAATGTTGCTAATTTGAATAATACTAAACAACATTGAGCTGGAGGTTTAAAATTATATTAAAGACAGTCGAATACATTGCTTAATTATTATCTTACCATTAAGAAAATTTATTTTAAAATATAATAATGTAATACCTTAATCGAAAGGCTATTTAGTTTTGGCAAAATGTTAAATACGCTGAAACAACAAATGCTAAATGATAAAATATTTGAAAATTACTATTTGAACTCACCTTTAAAATACTAGTCTCCCTTCCCTAACTATGATATGAATGGGCTAGAACTAATAGTAATATGCCTGGTTATTATAATTAACTCATTAAATATTCTATTAATTATTGTAAATATTCATTCTTATTATATGCCTATATTATGCCCTCTACCAATAAATAATAATAGTATTTAGGATACTCTCATTTGGCAAAAAATACAAGTATCTGTATCTCCAATTATTTATAAAAAAATTTGTATCTAAATTATTTTTTTTGAGGATCTGCCCACCTCTGGCAAAAACATCTCAGCATATGCTACTCAGGTTGTCAGAAGTAAATATGAGGAGCATACAATTTGGGAAAGTCTATTGGAGGCGAAATCAAAACATGGTAAATGAAGAGGGGTTTATCGATAGCATATCTAGTTTCCGAATGAGAAATCCGGAAGGGAGAGAATTTTGGATTTTGATAATGCTATGGATAAGATTGTTTGTAATACAATGTTTAAGAAAGAAGCCTAGAAGCTGGTGATCAGATAATGCGAAGAATGCTAAGGATTATTTGTTAGTGAGATGTGATAGATACATGGTACAAAACGTGGAAGTAGTATTAGAGGAGGAATATATTGAGCAGTATCCGACTAATCATAAGTAATCCTACTTTTAAAGAGGTCAGGATACTTAAGGAAATTTTGTGCCAAGGTAGAAGGTTTGAAAATTGAAGGAGGAGAGTTCTAGATGTCAATTCAATAGGATATTGACGACTAGCTGAGGTTCCACAAACATCTAGGGTAAATGACACGTAGGAAGCCATGAATAGAGCCTGGATGAGGATACCAAAAGGGCTGTTTAAGGAGATATGGATGTAGTAGACGCAAAATGTTTGAAAAATATGGAAGGAAAAATGGTACTTGATAGTAGTGAAGATCTAGAAAACCTACATGAAAAAACTTATGAATGAAAAGAATGAATGGATAATGAGTTAGTTGTGCAAAGGTAGAAAGTCCAGGGTGTAGGTTTGGTAAGAATAAAATTAAGAAAGCGTTGAAAAAGGGATAGTAGCGGGGTTAACAAGAGTGGTAAGAGAAATGTTTAGAGGTTCTGAAAACTTGGGGATTGAATGGCTAACGAATTTATGCAATCATGTTGTCATACAAGGAACTATTCCTGAGGATTGGCGAAGAGGTATGATTTCATTAAACAGATGGAAAGATGATCCTTTAAATTGACGGTCTAATAACAATTAAACTCTATAACATGTTATGAAGGGGTATGAAGGTATTTAAAAAGGTGCTAGAGAAGTGGATAAGGGAACAAACAAAAATTGATGAAATGTAATGGGGAAATGCACAACAGATGCAATTTTTGTTGTGAGACAAATACAATAAAAATATCTTGCAAAGGATAAAAAACTATATTATGCGTTTGTTGACAAAGAAAGCGTTTGACAGGGTGCCGCGTGAGATTACTAGATGGGTCTTGAGAAAATCAGGTATAGGAGATATGGCAGCGTATATAGAAGGACCAACTGCCTTACGGACGGATGACGGAGATAGTGAAAACTTAAAGTGAAGGTAGGACTCCAGGGATCCGTGTCGAGTCCATCATTATTTATCTTAGTAATGAATGTAGTGGCTAGAGAGATGCGTGAAGGAAGGAACTATTATATGCGAATGACATTGTATTGATGACAAACTGCGAGGAAGAATTGGGGGATAAAATTATTTGATGGAAGCAAAGGGTCTTAAAATGTGCAGAAAAGACAAAGGCGATAACCGATGGGGACAATAAGCAGAAGGAGGAATCCGGTAACTGGACTTGTGGTGTATATAGAAGAGGAGTTGCTTGAAATTCAACCCATGCACTAGATGCCAGAAATGGGTGCATAAAAGATGTAGTGGGGAAAAAGGAAGCCTGATGATAGCAAGAATGACTTTTATTTGTAGAATATGCGTGAAAGTGGTATATAAAATGATAACGGGTCGTTTAGATATTGGCATGGGTCAACCCTAGGTAGCGTCTACATGAGAGGGAGGTGGGTAGAAACAGTTTGCATCCTATTCTTATTGAGTGGGGTAGGATAAATTTTTTGGTGGGTTATCTATTAAATTTTGAGATGAAATTGGACAAAATATATTGCTGTAAAAATTAGTACTTTTATTATAGACCTATTATAATACAATGATATTGCTGATCATCGACCAAATTTATATATTACAAGCAATCATAGACATTATTTTTCAAATAAAACTTTCTGCTATGCTTTTAAATGTAATTTAAAAGATTAGACATTCTCAGCAAATTCATAATGCTATAATAATGCATTCATTTCAAATGAGGGGGGGGGGGGTTTAATTGAATTCAATATCTAAAAAAATAACTCCTTTATTCACAAAATTTTGATAGTTGGTAGCAGATAAATAATTTAAGTTATTTTTTTAATGAGTATTATTATAATTAAAAAGGTGTAGTTAATAATTGGGAAACATCGCCAAGGCCCTGAAATTTTTTTAGGGGGGTAGGCACAGGTTTTTGAGGGGGGGGGTTTGCATTCAGTTAAAATCTTGTCATGTAGATGCTGACCACAGGAATAGTGTTGTTATTTGGATGACATGCTAAATGCAGATAAAGGTGTAGATTCTGCTGTTGCTGAAAGGGTCAAACAAGCAGGGAAGAAGTTAGAGAAATGTTATCTATTCGTCTAAAGTTAAAGGGAAAAGTTTACGTAAGCTCACAGAGGAGTTATATAGTTTATGGCGATTAAACATGGCAATGAAAGGGGTTCGCGAAGTTAAATTGAAAAGAATGGAGATGAGGATGATTAGATGGATGGGTGGGGTATCTCTGAGAGAGAGAGAAAACTAGCAAGGATTGTAAAAAAGCATAGGAATAGAAGTGATTGTAATGGTAATGAGAAAAAAATAGAGAGATGGTTTGGGCATGTGTAACGAAAGATGACTGGGTAAAGAGATACCCTCGATGGAAGTAGGAGGATCAAGCCTTGAGGAAGGCCTAAGATGGCGTGGATAAATATGATAGCGTTGGATATGAGGAAAATGAATATTACACATATTTATGCTTAGAACCGTCAAAAATGGAGAAAGTAAGGTTTACTTGGGTAAACCCGGAAGCCGATAAAACGGAGAAGAAATCTGGAAAATCATCATATAAAATAATGTGTTATGGGATTGTATAAAATTTTAATGTTCATTATCAGCAACAAAATCTTACAATCTTGTTATAAGGGGGTGATTGGCAATTTAATCTATTTATTTAATTCAGATAATGGCCCAGATTTATTTTTTAAATTCTACAAAACGCTGCCATGGCAATGTTATATGCTTTCTTAAAATTATCATTCTCTAAAAATATCTCGTTAGCATTGATTTGCCATTTAGTTTAATGTACAAGAACATCTTCTGTGCCTGGGAAGGTAGTCAATGTCATTTAAATCACAATTATCACCCCAGATGAGATCGCTGTTGTGCAAACAAAATTGGATTCCAATACTCCTAAAATATCTTATTTTAATAACATATTTAGATATTCTTGACTTCATATTAGGTTACAGAGTATCTGTTGCTCAATTAAATCTTCATCATCACAGGAAGTTAATTTTTGTTTTTTTAATATTTAATTGAATTATTTTCTTATTATCTAAAGTTTCTTAATTATTACGGATTGGCTATATGATGTGTTCTAAAAAAAAATTTCATATAAAAATATTTAATTTATAATAATTATTCTAAAAATTTAGTTTAATTAATAATTCTATATAATACTAAGCAAAAAAATTTTTGTTACATGTAAATCTAACTAAAACTTAGTACAATTATTTAATACCTGTTATGTGAAAATAAATTTAGAGAGTTACCATAGATTGAGTAGATGGCTTAGAAACTAAAATATACTTTTCTTAGAAGACATACGAGACATTTAACACTAATATTACCTGTAGACATCTCTTTGTGAAATTTAAAATATTTTTTGACCAACATATTACATCTAAGTCCGCGGTTTTGGTAATAGTTTTAGAAAGGGATGATACAATTTTAATTTCATCATTCTGAATCATTTAAATGTCATTCTCATCAAATACAAGTAAGAGTCAGAATTCATATTATATTCTGTATCTGTCTGATTCATTGGTCTGATCAAGTATCAATTCAGGGGCACATATAGAATCATTTAATCAAAATTTTAAATTAATTTAATTTATAACATAAATATAATAATTATTTGAATATAAATAGCAACTAGTTACTTTTGGGTTACTTTCCAAAAAAATGTAACTAGTTATATAGTATTTCGATATTATTATTATGTTTATTAACAAATAACATTTTAGGATATTTGACAGTATTCAAGTCAAATACTCGGTCAATTGACCGACTTGCCGACCTTGATTCATTTTAATTACCTTTTGTTCCAAAATGATTAATTTCTCCGAATATTTGGCTTCGAGTCTATCCTTATCGGCTGCGTAGAGTGTTTCCATTTTGTCGCGAGTTCCGTGTTGATAATGCAAAAGAGTCGTCATTTCCCGGTTTAATCTTTCGTTCAGCTCCCGCATTTCAAGCTTTTGAGTCTGGTCCATAATTAACTAATTTTATATTAAGTTTACTCTTATAAATAATTAATATTTATATGTTATCATGTTTTCCCCCTTAATATATTCTATATTTTTTTTAATCGAGTAAATAAAATGTATTTATGTTTTTTTCATTTTAGCTTAGCGATACATGAAAACTTTTAATCTTATAAGAGCAGGGCTGTCAGATCTCCGATTAAACGGGAGACGATTACAATTTTTCTATGAAAACAAAATATTATACGACATTGGTCAAACTTCCATAATTTTACAATACAAATTTCATTATTATTCAAAAATAAATTTTTAAATAATAATAAAAAAATTTATAAAAAAGTGCCTAATTTGTGTTGTATTATTTTCTTTGGCTTACTAATAGATTGAAGTTCTTATATTTTTAAATTAGTAAGTTCGGTTTTACCTGTTTCTAAAATTTTATTATTTAATTCGTCGGCGTCAAGTTAAAAAAAACCAGACATTTCAATGGAATCAACGAGTTTATTTTCTTTTTATCAATATATTTTTGTTAGATAAAACTTTCACTTCTATCATCATAATTAAACAAGCTAAAGTTAAGGGTATTTTATCCTAGACAGCACATTATAAAAAAAAAATTCATTTTTCAGCTTAAAATATTTTTAGATAATTTATGAGCTAATTCTGGGGTGCTGCTTTTTTAATTGAACGAATGTAAAAACTGAACGCTATATTTATAATTTGTTATTATAAAAATCACTAATTTACTCTAAAACGTATTACAATACAATATAGTCGGGCTTTATCTTTATGATGAATAAATAAATTTAATAAATTTAACTTATTCGAATAGTATAATCTAAAATTATACAAATAAAATTATTGATATATAAAATAAGAATAAAAGATACTGCCGATTGAATCTGGCCAAATCGGGCGCAATGCTCAATTAAAAATTTCTTCCACAATTCAAAAATTTCAACCTGGTAACCCTGATCAAGAGTAATTTCTTACAACTAGATTTTGAATACCGGAAAAAAAGTTAGAAATAAACACCATGGTATTTTGAATTGTAAAAAAAGTATTTATAATCAATGCATGAAACTGTATTATCATGGACGCGATTTTATTTTGTAAAGTTAATTGAAAATAAAAAAGAAAAGTCGATTAAAATTGTTAAAAATATATTAAACTTTGTTTTCTTTTCAATATGTAAATGAAAATATATATAGCCGATTGTATTATAAAATGATTATTATTATTAACTTTTTAGTTTGTATTAAGTAAAATAAAGTTAGTTTTAATTTTGTAATTCACCTAAATTCACATTTTGATTTGTAAAAAAATATTTATAATTCAAACTGTGAGCCTTATTAATGATTTTACTTAAACTTTCATTATTAATTTTTCCTTTATTTAATTTTCTTTTATTTGTTATTTAATCGATAAATCCTTTTCTAAATGTACTCAATAATATAGGTTTAGTAAAGACCAAGTTAAGGGCGGGTAAATTTAAATAATTTTCGGGCATGAGCAGAACGGGCGTATTTTAATTTTGTAAGTTTAAGCAAGAATGTATTAAAATAAATAAGGAACCAAGCCAACCAATCAAATCATTTTTAAACATTCGGCGGGCGGGTTGAACAAAATTTAGATAAATAGGCGAGCTGTAATTTTTTAACATGGGTGATGCAGACTTCTAATACATATATTCGAGCAGCACCAGAATTTACACCGAGAAAATTGAAAGATAATAAAATATTAAATCAAATGTGTTGTCGGGGGAGTCATTGAAAAAAAACTTAAGGAATCACAAAGCAAAGCATAACCCTTCAAATCTTGAGAATTTGAGTACTTAGTTATAGGGTATTAGTATTAAACAATAGTGTTAAAGTAGCTATTTAAAATAAGCGTGCTAATTTTCTAAGTAGGATCGGTAACGGCGCTACATTTTTTAACGAAGCACTGATGAAAATTACTAAAGATGACATAGTTATAATAGTTGGGTACTTAAATGCGCCTGTGGGAATGGCAGTAGAAGGGTACAAAAGATACCTGGGTAGTTTTAAATATGGAAAATTAAATGATGGAGGAGAGCATGTATTGAGATTTGCGCCTTTTACCTTAACTTTGCCAACACCTTTCAAGAAAAGGAATAAACGTTTAATATATAAGAGCAGTACACGAACTCATATAAAAAAAGGTGTAATAAACTGCAAAGTCATCCCAGGTGAAGACAATGCTTCACAGTACAAGTTACTAGTCATGGATTTCGCCTTACAAATAAACCCTTTCAAAACAAGCTACCAGAACCCCGGATCAAATAAATGAAATTAAAATCACAGATGCCCTCACAATAAAGGCAAATATTAAAACAATCGATTCTTCGCATGACTGAACTCTAATATTAATAAATACTGCCAGTCTTCCTCGTCCACGTGAATCAAACAAAAAATTAGTGATAAAGTAAGATATAAATCCCAAAGCATAGAAGACATTTAAATATATAGAAATTCCGAGAGAATGACTACAAAGGTGGCGGCTAGGGTTAAAACCTGGCATATATGAGCAACTGCATAAAAAAGAGTGGCAAAATAAAATTTAAACATTGAAATAATTCATATAAATGGAACTCTAAAAAACAATCAAAAATAAAGAAAATTAATATTAAAGGGAAAATAGATAATGAATATCAACTTAATCCCTACATATTACATCTAGATTAATACTAACCATATCAAGATGCCATCAACCAATAATAGCAAGAAATAATATATGGCCTCAAATGCATGAAAGATGATAAGGAAAGAGGCTGTGATTATTTTCCAATAGAAAGTCTTAAAGAACTAAAAGATGAAGGAATATATTTCCTCATAAATTCTTCAATAAAATACTGGAAAGTGATTCCTCAAAGATGAAGCTATTTAATTAATATCTTCAAAAATAAAGGTGATACACATAATTGTCAAAACATTAGAGGCTTAATTTATGTCACACTGTATAAAACTCTATGAGAAAATAATAGAAAAAGGGTCAAATGGCAGTCGAATAGGAAAGACTTGCTTGGCTTTATGCCTAGAAGATCAACGACTGATGCATAGACAAATGTGTGAAAAGTACAGGGGAAGAAGCAAAGGACTCATTAGGTGGGCTTTAAGCAGTATAAATATACCTGAAAAATATATTAACATGCATAAGACTACAATGATCTAAAGTATAAATGACACATTATCAGTTCAATAGCAGAGGGATTTTATCAAGGGTCGGTTTTCAATCCACTACTTTACATAACAGTAATAGATGTTCTATCACAGACATATTCACGATCAACCCCATAAAATATGATATTTGGAGATAATTGCCGAATTGGATAAATATTTTAGAACATCATGAGTTAAAAATAGTGTTGTACGAAGTTCGGTATTTTGAAAAAAATGATGAGCCACGTTCCTTTTACTTTTGAAGAACTTTGAACGTGAACGCGTTTCTTTTTTTGACGACCGTGTTTGTTTTTTACGTTCGTTAAAGAAAATCTTATTATTTTTATTCATTTGAAAATAAAAAATATTAATTATATATGTTAAAAATTAATAAGAAAAATATTTTTATTGACTTAAAACTTTTTTTAAACATGACTAATATATTGTGTCAAAAAAAATATATGGTATTTATTATATAATATTAAATATTAAATAAAATTTAAAAAAATAATTAATTCGGAAAGTTTTGAACGAACGTGAACGCGTTCCCTTTTTTGAAGGTAAACGTTGAATAGCGTTAGATTTTTCTGAAAATGTTTACAGCATTAGTTAAAAATCAAAACAAGGAAAAAAAAGAATATATGGTAATAGGTTGAGACAACAGTTTACATTGATATAAGTGAATGGCCTCTACCGGTAATTGATAGCTGCGATTCCAGTAGCGTCACTAGGGAGAGAATTGCTGAAAATTAAGACCTCTATAAAATTTTTAAAAACTACAAAAAGAAGGTAATTTTCAAAAATTTTCTTAAAATAAAGTCCATAATAAAGAAATTTAAAAAAATATTTCCTAAAAAAGGTATTTTCTAAAAAAAAATATTCTGTATTTTTTTAAAAGTTGAGCCACCCGAGATTGGTGTAGGCTAGTGACGCAACTGTTAGGTTTCACTTCACAAAGCAGTAGCACAATTGAAAAATAAAATGAATCAAAGATGGTTGTGATGGAAAAATTTTCAGGAGTATTTTTTTTTAAAATTTTTAAACTTTTATTTATTTTAAAAAATAAAATGCATATTAAAAAAACATATAAAATGGTGAAAAAACAATGGATTTTTTAAAAAAAGAAAAAGAAGCCTCTCATTGAGTCGAGGAAACTAAAATATTTGCTTCGGAATACACCAATTTGGGTTGATGGTAAAATTTTAGAGAAAGATCCACGATATAATTTGAGAAATTTATTTACTTAAGAATCTTAAAAAAATGATTTTTGATAAAAGAATTTCCCACAAATTAAATGGGAATATACACAGTTCCATAGTACAGCCAACAATTTTATAAGTTCGATAACATGGCCATAGAATTTTAGAGATATCTGGGATAATCAAAAAAAATAACATATGTAATATAAATATATCAAAAAGTTTAAAGATAGTTACTATAAAAATAAAAATCTTAGTTTAGGTATACGATAAAAAGTCTAGAAAACTATATCGGAAACAAAGTTGTTTAGAAGTGATTGATAAACGAAAGAAATCATAAAGTTAAAGCCAATATCACCGGATGTACGAACAAAATAAAATGAAAAGAAATATAATATAGAATTTTTTTTTAGTATGTGTAGACTAATTCTATAAAAAAACTTGAAAGGTGATATAGGAATAGACCCTAGTAAAATAAAACTTCTTATTACAAAATTTAATCTAATCATAATGTGGATGCATTTTGCATTTACCTAATAAAATAAAAGGTGTATGAAAATACTTGGGAAATATTCACCCAAATCTGGGTTCGGGCCGTTTTTAATCCAGGATTTTCTTATGGGGGGGGGGGGGAATTTTTGGGGGGCTTCGCCCCCAAACCCCCTTTACCAGCTATCCCCCGGCCTTCGGCCGGGTCTTATATTTTAGCTATTCCATTTAATTATTCATAATTTAATAATAATTATATTTCTATTTGTAACTATTATTTACTAATTCGTGCTAATGGATATTTCAAGCCTATTTTTTATTATTTTTAGTTAGGTATATTATATTTAATAAAGTTTTTTAAATGTAAAGTTGAAATAAAGTTTAATGTCATTTTTTTATAAAATTTGCTTTAAAAACTAGCCTCAGCTTAAATACAATATAAGTATAATATAATTTTTTTTATTTAAAATACTAATAGTAGTTGTATAAAATATTAATGTTGTTAAACGGCTCGTTTTGAGCTGATTTTTAAAAACGGCTAACTCAATATTTTCACCAGAAAAATATTAACTAAATTTCGAAATTTCGATACTATATGTCTAGACCTTTGCTCCTTCTATGAACAAAATTTTCAGGCTTGCATTATATTTTTCTGGATAAATAACTGAGTTAGCCGTTTTTAAAAATCGGCTCAAAACGAGGCGTTTAACAACACTATAAAATATTGACTAGAAAATAATTAAAAAAACAAGTTTTTTTAAACTTCTTATCAAATACAATATTATACAAATTTTTTTATTAAATACTATAATTATAATGCGATTTTTAATTTTCGTGGGAATGTTGCCAATTCATCAAGAATTTTGTTTGTCTTTGGAACCAAATCTCTGTGGATATTTAACAGAGCTAACCCATTTAGCCGAGATTCGGAATTAGTACTTCATAAATATGTTTTCAACCTTCTTAAGTTGGAAATTCCTTTCATTCGTACATGTTATAATAGGCAAACATGGTAGGATATAAACCAACTTCAAAATATTAGGAATTTGAGCCAAGGTTTCTTTACACCGATTAAACGCATCAATAGCATGCTCAGGTAAAATAGCTAAACGTATTAAATATTTATCACAATTCGAATTCACTGATTAAATTTATTTCAGTATCAATATCATAGGAATAAAATTTTCCTAAATATTTAATTTTGCCAATAGTGGCATTAGAAAACGAAGATGGATCTTTGGGTATTAAAACTTGAAGATTGTTAAAGACTTGTTTTTTATCTAAAAACCGTACTTTTATTTGAGATAAAAAAGTATCTAAGAATGGGATAAAAGTGGATATTTTATAATATTCTTCAGTTGAGCCAATATTTATTTTACATCTCAATAATTGCCCAGGTGCTAGACGAGGTTTAATTAGTGTTATATCATAAAATTTAGCCTTCGATTCAACGTCTATATAAATATTATGAAAATATTCATCTACATTCATTCTTATTGTATCTACCTGTTCATATATATTTTCCGCCTAATCAATAACCTGAACCAAATCTAAATTTGGTTTTTGTAAATTTCTACAAAGTAGTGAGCTATAGGAAAATAATTTATTGATGCAACTAGCAGCAATGATAAACTCTGATTGATCAATTGAATTCAATAATGATATCGCTTCTATGATACATTACTTTTTTTCATGCTCAGCCTTATTTAACTTTTACTTTTGTATTTATATTTCTTCTGTTCTACAAAATCGAAGTAAAAATAAAATATTTAAAAAATTATAGATATTTATTAATAATTAATATTAAAATTACTTATTAATTCTAACTTACTAATAATTTTGGATTTAAATAATAATAAAATAAATTACCATTTGATTTCAATCTCTTTGAACTTAAAATTTTTCCATTTTATTATTATTTTTGAATAATGTTAATGTACTCACAAGGAAAGTAAATTTTAATAAAATTTATTTATAAAAAATAAGTGTTATGTTGGAAAATTGATATTCAAAAATTTGTAAAATTTTGATTGGGGGGGGGGGGGGGTGGAGGGTAAAATTTTTATTAGCTTAAAATGATATTTATGAAAACAGTCAAATTTGCGATTGGTTACGCGCCTGGCTTATACTTAGATTTAAAATTATTCATTTTAAATTATCTTTTTGTTCATGTAAAAAAAATTAGAGTTCTTTCCAGGGATTTTTTTCTGGAGATTATTTTCCCAATTATCCTAGATTTTAAAAATATTTGGTTTCTTTACTGTTTGTTTTTGCAACATATCTGCTATAGTTTTCTCGTAATCTCGATTTATCAAAACTAGTTTCCTGCCCTTTTCCTCCTTCAAATGTTTGACCAAATCTTTTGGGTTATTGGAATTATTTTTATCGCCAAGATCTAAAGGTAACGAAGTAAGCGAAAGGTTATTTTCGGAGTTATTTTGATTGGTGAATTGAATTTTGGAGGAGACGTTTTTGATAATTTGAGCCTTGAGGATTTTGTATTGCTTCTCCTGAATTCGAACTACATCGTTGAATTGCTTGCGTATCTTGTTTTCTTTCTCCTAAAAAAAATAATATTTGAATAAATAGTTAAAATTAGTCGGTTTGTGCTAAAATTATTATAAAAAAATGGTCACTTATAATGATTTTTTGTTCTGGGTGGACAAAGTGTGCTCAAATTGATCAAGTTATTTAAGATGTAATATGCTCAAATTTGACATGTTTTACTGTATACATGATTTGGCAATGATTATATTCAAGAGGATCTGGGCTAGGGTGTAAAATAATTTTAATTATAGCCATTTGATATCTACCCCATATGATGAAACTCAAATAACGCTTTGGGATAACATATAACACAACTTTTATTAAAATAGTATAACACCAAACAGATAATTTTATTTGATGAAACTCAATGCACGCTTTTGGATAACATATAACACTAAACAAGGTCCAAATTTTATTAAAATAGTATACCCCCATTTTTAAAAATAAACTAAATATATCCGTATCAAATTATTTTTATTTTATGAAAGGAATTTGTTGAGATGCGATGCTCAACCCTCTCCAGTAAATTAAAACCGAGAACTTGAAGCTGCTGGAACAGTCAAGAGGCATCTTATTGATTTCTCATTTAAATCAATATTATATTATTCGATATGCGATTATTTCACCCAGATGATACTCAAACTATTTGAAAAAATAACAAACTTAAGTGTCAATATTTAATAATTCCAAAACACAAATCTACCCAAATTCAAAAATAAGGTCAGTTTTACATTTTGCCACTTTTACTAATTTTTGCACGAAAAATTTGGTATCTAGTTATATTTTGATCCAAATGATTTTAATATGGTATTTATTTAAGGGTAGTTTCAAAGGGTAATTTATAGAAAATTACTTTAATTTAAAAAAAAACGCCTATTTTGGATTTCGTATTCTAGTCATTGTTTAAATGGTCATAACTAATGCTAGTGTGGAGGTAAAATCGATTGCTTGTGAACATCCACAAAATAAGGCTAAACTTTAGTTTTTTACACTTATTTTTGAATTTTAATTTAAATGCCCGTGGAATTCCAATTGCTCTAATTACGTAGGGGAAAATTCTTGATTTAAATGAAGAGGGAATGAATAATTCAGCAATAACCAAACTCCACCCAAGTAGAGAAACGATCAGAAATAATATTAATAAATTAATTGATCCCGTAATCTCTCGCATTGGCTTCAAAGGGCGTCCAAAGGTGAAAATATTCAGGGATAAACGTTGTTTGCAACGAATTATCATAAAAAATTGCGGATCAAATCTTTTCATTTGATTCAAAAATTGAGAGAAACGACAAAAAAGACTTCACCTATTTCTACCTGCTACAGAATAAAGAATTCTTTGGGTTATAAACTCCATAAATTATTTAATTATTATATCATAATTGTACTTATTATTTTAATTAACACTAGCATATAAGAAAAATAATCAAAAATGAGTATTTTTAGATTTAAAAAAATGAGTCTAGAGGATTTTCAATAGTATTATTATTTATTACAAAAAAATCATAATAGTAGGGGTGTTTTTGATCTGTATAGGGTCAGTCCAAAATTAAAACAGTAAAGTTAGAATAAAAATATGTAGGGGGAAAAATAAGATAAATGACCATTTTTTGACTAGCAAGGCCACCACTCTTTAATATTTAATCCATTGAGCCAATTTCTCTCAAAATTGGTCAAAATGTGAAAGGACATAAGTTAGCATGTTTTGATAAAATTTATAAATAGATGAGTGGTTAATTTTAAGCATGTTTAACATCCAGATAATTAAGATAATAATTTATAAAACATTATCATTAAATAGATGTGCCTGATGATAAAATTGGATGTTAATATTAATTATTTGTAATTATAATAAAATTCTTGAATAATATCTTATGGTTAGTTGAACATACCATGTTAGGATGGGCCAGAAAATCAAATTTCACATAAACTCATCTATCTCAAAATATTATAGATTCAGCTTCAATTCAAATTTTATTTTAAAGATCAAGGATTAGGCTACGTTGATATTAAATTTGTTTGATATATTATTTTTAATTCCTTAAGTCGAAGCTACTAGTCTTGTTTGATGATAAAACCTTCCGGTACATGTTAAACGAAATTTACCTTGTGTTTTAAAATATTGCGAATTTAGGAAAACGAAATTCCATATTATTATCATTCTCCAGGGAAATTACTTTTGTTGATCTAAACCAAAATTATCTTCACTATCAATCTCGATATTTTAAATTTATTTGAAAACAGATTTATAGTGCAGATTTTTAAATACAAATTTCAAAATCAAATTAAAAAGCTACTTTGTTATTTTCTAAATTATTAGCGAGTTACCACTAAAAAATTAGCGCGCTAAAGCTAAAATTAATGAAAAAGGCAACAACACTGTTGATATCTTTAAATTATATACATTTTTGAATCAAGATGATAATTTTGTTGCTATAACTCTTAACGATTATTTTAAAAAAAACTTTTTAAGTATGATATTTAATATTATAATTATGACAATAAATAGAATATTTCATCCCATTAATAACGCATTTAATATTGCACCCCAAAAATAAAAGCTGGCTTATTTTTTATTTTAGAATACTACCTATCGAATATATTTAATTTTAAAATGGTAGCATATCAGATTTAGAAGTATTTCATTTTATATAAATGTTATGATGATTGATTTTATTTTCTTATTATTGTTAAATAGAGATGATTTCTATTTTTATAAACTTAAATTGTTTAATATTTTAAATTTTTGTTTATCCAAAGGGGTAATAGAAAAAAAAACTCCGGAAAAACCTCCATGAAAAAAAAATCTCCAGAAAAAATATCCCATGGAAATAAAACCCTCAGAAAAAAACCCTATGAAAAGTCCCAAATAAAAAAAAGGAAAAGTTTCAATCATAAAAGGAAAAGGTTCGATCAAAAAGGAAAATCCCATTCAAAAAAGGAAAATCGTTATTTTTTAAATTTTTTTTGTCAATTTTTCTTAAATTTTTATTATTCCTATTTTATTTCTAACTTTTTGCGATTTTATCTACTTTATTTTTCTTACTATATCTTTTCTCAATTCTTTATTTTTTTTCAAACAATATTTTGACTTTTTACAATTTTTTTTCCTTATATTGTAATCAAAAATTTTTATTGAATTTTAATTTGATAATTTACAAATAAAATATTTAAGTCATAAAATTTGTATTTTATAAAAAAATTAATGGATCTAATTCATCTTGTAAAAGTCGTATTTGAAGGTTACTCATATACCATCCATAAAAAATGCTTAACAAGATAAGATGGCTCTGCTTAAAGTATTCATCTTTTAAATGCTGAGCAATATTATCATCAACACTCGAAAATCAAGACCCGGTACTTGAAACAGCTCATAATCATCCATCCAGGCGCGTACACAGCGGTGGGGGGGGATCAAAAAATGCAGATGCCGGATTATATTTTTCAAAAATATCATTGATAATTTAATTTATATTTGTTAATATTTATTCCTATCTCATATATATATTTAATTTAGAGATCAAAATAATCGGGTTCGGACCGGGCCTAATATTTTTTAAAAAAATTCGGGCCGGGTCGGGTTGGACCTTGAAATTTTTTTTTAAATATCTAAATTTCTCAATTTTATATTGAATTTTTTATGTAAAATAAAATATTTGATTTTATTTATTGAAACTAAATGACATATAACATATGTCTTTTATTTTGAATAATTATAAAAATTAATTTCCATTTAAAATAAATTCGGGCCGGGCCGGTAAAATTTTTAAAAATAAATTTCGGGTTCGGGCCGGCAAAACATTTTTTAAAAATTTTCGGGTTCGGGCCAGGCCGGCAAAACTTTTTTAAAAAAATTTGGGTCGGGCCGGGCTTGAAAAATTAGGCCCGATGCAGATCACTATTAATTATATTTATTTATCACATTCATCTACTAAGTTATTTATCAATTAATTTCGATTTCAAGTTTTCCTTGGGGTAATATTTACCTATAATTTTCAAATTTTAATGGCGTAATATTTATCTAAATTTCTAGTCAAATTATAATTATCTCTGAAACTCCTTGTCCAACAGGGAGAAAGAAATTGCAAGCTTGTCCAACGAGATGGAGTATCCGCCATCAAGCAGTAACAGTGAAGTTAAGAAGAGCCTAATGCTATTACTGAAATATCACAAGGGCTTGAAAGAAATATTTCCTCAGAAGCAAGAAAATTATTGAATTCAATACTTATTCCAAATTTTTTTTCTCATTAAAATGTATTATTTAATTATATAACTATTTTATGTAATACTTTTCAAAAACATGACATTGACTATTAAGATGAGAATAGCGGAGAGAATTTTATTAGAACTCAAGGAAATTAGAGCTAATGTTGATGAAGAATTTTATATGTTATTGTTGAGTCAAAAGCTGAGCTATACGTGTTTAATATTTGTCCCCCTCGACTTGCAGCAAAACATTAATATAGGATCAGTAGAAGAGTATTATAAAACAAATGCCCCTCTCTTAGATACATTTATAACCCAAATAAATGAATGGTTTTTAATTCATCATGCAGCACTTACCAATCTGCAGATATTACTTCCACAAAAGCCTTCCCAACCTTTTTCAGATGGTGATAGAAGAAAAATAAATATTTGTTAGATTTTTATCATGAAGATGTCAAAGTATCTTATGATGCCTTATTAGCTGAACTATGATTAAAAGATTAACTATGATTGATACAGTCCCTAAAAATGCTATGAATGATTTGCATTACTTCAAACACATTTTAGATTATATTCCCAATGTATTAAAATGGTTATAAATTTATTAGCAACTCTGAGAGAACATTCTCTTTTTAAGAAGAATAACAGAGCCCTGCAGATATACTATTTGCAGGACACGGCCCGGATTTTTTTTTCCAAATTTTCTTCGGCCCGACCCGGGATTTTTTTTTAAAAAAATTTTCAGGCCCGGCCCGGCTTTTTTGAAAATAAAATTTTCAGGCTCGGCCCGAATTTTTTTAATAAATTATAT